AAAAAAAAAAAAAAAAAAAGAATATAGAATGACTAATTAATATTAAATTGACTTTGATTCATTACACTGGCAACCAGTCAACAAGAGAGCTGGCTCTCCCATTAACTGGCACCCGAGGATTCTTTTAGCTTGTCAGGAAAGTCATGATGTATTTTTCTATTTTCTATGCCAAAATGTACCATGACTTTCCCAGCAACCCAATATTTTGCTTTTTTAGAATAGACCTCAATGAGTATTCAAAGTAAGCATTCTAGGGGTCAGGCTGGGGGACACATCTATAACACAACTAGACCCACATGGGAAATTGTCCCTGAACACATCAGGTCACAATACAAAAAACATTAGACATCCGAATTGATTTATATTTATTTCATTACCTAAACTTTAATCAGATAGTTACAAAATGAATGGGAAAAATAATCTGTTTCCCATCTAAAGACAAGAAGAAACGTGGTTTTTTTTGAGAGGTTTTTGCCATAGGGTTCGTGCACTCACCAGAAAGACAGAGAGACAGAAAGAGAGAAATCACTCCCCAGGGTGGTATGGCCACACTGCAATTCCTTCTCCTCCATTTTCCTCTCGGGAACTTGGGCATGCATGCATGTGCGCCTGGCGTGAGTTTAAGCCACCAGGTCCGGGGCTTGAACTATGGTCAGCTACATGGGAGTCCAGCAATGTAGCCATTATGCCCTCTGCTGGTCACAAGAAGAAACTTTATAAAACTTTCTTTGTTTAAAGTTGAGAATTTAAGCTCAGCCGCATGCTGAAGTATTTGTATTAAGGGTATTAAACATAGGGCATTTAATTAATTAATTAATTAATTGCCAGAAGGAATGTGCCTTTGCCAGAAAGAGAGACAGAAAGGGAGAGGGAGAAGTCTCCCCTTGCCCCCATGCAACGTAGTCATGCTGCAGTCCCTTTATCTCTGTTTCTCCACCTCATTGGGATTTGGCATGTACACACACCTGGAATGTTTCTCAAGTTGCTGGGACTAGGATTTGAACCACTTTTCAGCTATGTGGGTTCTGGCTCCCTTAACTAGTAGACCATAGAACTGACCCAAGCATAGGAAATTTTCCAACAGAATCTCTAGTACTGTGTTTTTTGTTTTGTTTTGTTTTTAATTTGCCACAGGGTGCCTGGTCACAAGGCAATCCCTTCTCTATTTCTCCATCCTGTTGGGATATGGGGCAAACACACACACTTGGTATGTTTCTCAAGCTGCCAGATTTGGGATTTAAGCAGTGGATTGACCATGCAGATCTGGTTTCCTTAACCACTAGACTATTGGGCCAATCCTCTAATAAATTTTTTTAAAGAATTATTTATTCAACTTTATTTATTCAATTAACCATTTTCATTTGACCAGAGAAAGACAGACACACAGAGAGAAGGAAGTGAAAAAGCAAGCTACCAGGTCTGAGACTCGAACCGTGGTCAGCCATGTGGGAGTGCCCAGCCCCGTAACCACTACACCACTTGTTGATCTCCCGAGTCCTCTAATAAAATATATTTTTTAAAGGGTCTGGGGACAGCAGTTGGTGTGATGGATAGGGTACTGGATTCCCACATAGTGGATTGTGGTTTGAGATGTGGACCCTGTGGCTTGAAAATCACAATAAATAATAGATAAATAAATTAACTAATAAATATTGCAAAAATGAGGGGAAGGATCTGGTTAGAGTTTACTTTTTACTTCCTGTGTATATTGTGACTAGTATTGGGAGTGGAGGAAGCCTATGTGTGGGTCGATGTAAAGTTAATGTATTGGACATGATCACCACCAAGTAACTGTCCATTTTTTCTGACCAAGTAACAGTATGCTCTGAAGGTAATTTTCTCTCAGAAAAGCCTGGTCTCAGATGGTAAAGATAGAATTGCTTTTCCTACTGTGAAATTATAAGAGAATGATATTTCTAAAATGATAGGAAAATACATCTAGGAAGTTTTACTAAGCTTCAGGCAAACCGCTCATTGTTACACCCATGTTTAGGTCTTACTCATCCAGGCCCAGATGTTATATAAGAAGTTTGTGAAATCAACTGGCTTTCTGGGAAGTGAACAGTGGGCAGTCATTCACATTGTGGAGCAGCGCCTGTGTTTCTACCCAGTGGTCTTTTTTTGCTGCTGGAGCCCAGGTCAGTATCTCAAGAAAATAAAAAGTGTATTTCTTGAAAGAGAGAGACGGAGGGAGGAGGAAAGAGGGAGACAGGGTCTTGTCACACAGCGATCCTCTCCCTGGGCTCTTTAGCCAGCCATGATCATGTGTGCACTTGGTATATTCAGGCCAACCTGGAATCTGAACACCAGGTCTTCCCATATTGCTCCAGTATTACACAGCAACACCCTACCAATGCAGCTGGGCCCCCAGGTGGGAATCTTAAAAATAGGAAGAGAGCAGCTACTGGGTTCTGATCAAGTAAAGTGATTTCGCCAAGGATGACTGTGACTTCTTTTCCAATTTGTAAACTTTGTGTTGGCCTCAGCCTTGTTACCACTTTTTCTTGACTCCTGTAACTTTTTTCTTCTTGTAATTTTGAAATGAGGATCAGTAGACATGAGAGACAAGCCAATGTTGGAGGAGAAAATGTCCTGACAGATCTCAGAGATTTACTTGCCCTTGCTACTTCAAAAAATTGTAATGAGGGGAACCAGCAGTTAGCGTAATGGCTATGTCGCTGGACTCCCACGTAGTCGACCGTGGTTCGTGTCCCGGACCCGGTGGCTTAAAACTCACGCCGGGCGCGTGTGCGTGCGTGCCCAAGATCCCAAGAGGAGAATGGAGGAGGAAAGGGATTGCGGCGGGACCATCCCCCCTGGGGGGTGATTTCTCGCTTTCTGTCTCTATGTCTCTCTCTGTCTGTCTGGCGAGCGCACGCGCCCTACAGTGAAAATCTCTCAAAAAAAAAATTGTAATGAGGATCAAACTGGATGGCATTTATGAGAGAGTTTGGAAATTTCTGAAATGCTAATAAATGTAAATTATTATTTTCCTATAGTGTGTCTTGTCACCATTACCACAGTAATCTACAAAGTTTAATCAATAAGAAATAGAAGTCAGGGGCTGGCAGGTGGCATGGTGATTAAAGATGCTGGGCTCCCACATGGCCGACCGCAGTTCAAGTCCTGGACCTGGCAGCATGCTTTCTCACTTTCTCTCTTTCACTCTGTCCCTCTCTGATCAAATTAAAGTAAATAAATTAAGCTAAAAAAAATTATTCTTTTTTTTGGAAAGGTTTTTGCTATAGGGTGCGTGAGCTTGCCAGAAAGACAGAGACAGACAGACAGAAAGAGAGAAGTCACCCCCCTGAGGGGTTGGCCATCCCACAGTCCCTTTTCCTCCATTCTCCTCTTAGGATCTTGGGCGCACACACACCCAGCATGAGTTTAAGCCACTGGGTCTGGGACTCAAACTGCGGTCGACTACGTGGGAGTCCAGCAACATAGCCGTTATGCTAACTGCTGGTCCCAAATAAAATAATTCTTTTTTTTTTTTTTTGAGAGGTTTTTGCTATAGGGCGTGTGCGCACGCCAGACAGACAGAGAGAGACAGAGTGTGAGAAATCACCCCCCATGGGAGATGGCCATGCTGCAATCCCTTCTCCTCCATTCTCCTCTCGGGATCTTGGGCACGCACACACGCGCGCCCGACGTGAGTTTTAAGCTACTGGGTCTGGGATGCGAACCGCAGTCGACTACATGGGAGTCTAGCAACATAGCCATTACGCTAACTGCTGGTCACCAAATAAAATAATTCTTTTTAAAAAAAGATTAAAACACTCGATAGTTGCATTAAAAAATAAAAAAAGAAGCAGTAGAAGTCAGAGGCTTAAGGCCCATTGGTTTACATAACTGGTTAATGTCATTGTTAGTTTTCATTATGCTTGTATGCTCAGGCATGTGTACTGAGAAACATTATCTTTTTGGTAGTCAAGGATGACAATAAACTTTGTACTTCTTGTATTCACAGCTTTCATCCTGATGATTATAAAACTGACCAAGCCACAGGACATCAAGCTTTATGTGGCCTTCTATGTTCTCCAGGTAATACCTCAACATTTAGTACCTCTGTTCTTTTTTTAAAAAAAATTATTTTATTTAACTTTTATTTATTTATTTATCTTAATTTTACCAGAGAGGGACAGAAAGAGAGAATGAAAGTGAGAAAGTAAGCTGCCAGGTCCAGGACTTGAACTGTGGTCAGCCATGTGGGAGTCCAGTGCCCTTTATCACCATGCCACCTGCTGGCCCCTGTATCTCTGTTCTTATACCCTCATATCGTATTTTCTTACCCTGCCATTACTCATTAAGCACATTTTTTTCCTTCAGAGTATTTACATCTGTACTACAAAAGAAAAATTTTATTTTTACTCAGTTATGAAGAACATCAGAATATCCTCAAAGATAGGTAGATGCTTTGGTAAAGTGCTGCCATGCATTCCAAAGCATAGGTATCTCTGTTCCACTTCATTTATTAATGTGTTTTTAAGAGATGGGTAGTGGGACCAGCAGTTGGCATAATAGCTATGTTGCTGGACTCCCATGTACTCGACCATGTTTCGAGTCACAGACCCGGTGGCTTAAATTCACACTGGGCACCTGTGTGTGCGTGCCCAAGATCCTGAGAGGAGAATGGAGGAGAAAGGATTACGGCATGGCCATACCCCCGGGGGATGATTTCTCACGTTCTGTCTTTCTGTCTCTTTCTAGGGAGTGCACACGCCCTGTAGCAAAAACCTCTCCAAAAAAAATAAAAAAGAGATGGGTATTAAATAATAATAGTAATAACAACAATAAATAAAGCAAGGTCTGCCAGAGATGTTCTTATGAAACACCAAATGTGACAGGATTCATGATTCTTTCCCATTTAGACTGAGTTGAATAGGATAAATTAGCAATTCTTGGTTAATGGGATGGGAGTATGTGTAGAATGATTTTCTTTTTTCCTCCTTTAACTAGTATAAGAAGACTTTTGAGCTATCTATGTTGATAGGTCAGTTTTCTCAGGTATAACCTGGAAAATGGGGCAATAAGGAGAAGTATTAAAGCCACATTGTTGTGCCTAAGTATATACTAAGAAATATGATCAACTTCTAGTCATCTATAACAAGATACAGTGTGAAAAGTAAGTTAAGGAGGAACTAAAAAATAAATAAAATACTTACGCCATATCTTAATGTTTGAGATAGAGGAAATATAAGAATACGTATAAATAAATGGGATGGGGATTATTTCCTGGATCTCTGAAAACCCGAAGGATGGGCACCATCACCCCCTTCATCTCCTTCAGGCTCTAACCACAGCATCTCAGGGTCTGCTCAACTGTGGAATATATGGCTGGACGCAGCACAAGTTCTACCAACTAAAACAAGAGACTCGGCATGATGCAGACACCCAGACACCATTATTGTGCTCACAGAAGAGAGTGTATAGCAGGAGCCTAGATCCATTGGAGTCTACTCTTGCCTTTGCTACCAGCACTTCCACCATTCTCTAAAACTACAGTACTGGAGTATCCAGGAACTGGAGTTACTCCACAATAATGAATTGGGAAGAATGTTGGTGAACAATATCTTAAATCCTTTATAACCATTGCCTAAACTACAGAATTGAAAAGTTGTATAGTACCATAGTTAGTAGCTGTTTTAAGTGAATTGGTAGGATTTTTCCAGTAATTCTCAGTCAGGTTCACTAGTGATTCTTAAAGTCTCTGTTCAGAAAGATGAAGCCGCTTTCCATCTGAGAGATAGACTTATATTACCTTGATGAATATTGAATTTGCTTAAGTCTCTTCTAGAAAAAATAAATTCCAGGTTTTCATTTATATGTGTTTCCAGACTCTCTACTCTTTGGTTGCGTGGAAAGTAAGAGGGCATGTAAAAACTTAATTAGATCTTCCCATTGCTCTTACTCTCTCTAAGATTGGACATAGAAAGTACTCTCTCTAAGATTGGACATAGAAATCACACGGTTAGCCATGTGAGTCAACCACCATACCACCTGCTGGTCCCAACACTACTATCACTTTAAAAAAAGGAAAAGAATTGTGGCGATATGCTAGTAAGTATTAAATAATTGGTACTATGCTTTTAAAAGAAATACTGAATTAGATTAATTGCAAATTTCTGTCATAAATATTATCACCCCCTGACTAATATTCAGCTATCAATGTGACATCACTGAATACAGAATTGGTAAGACATGCCATACTCAGCCTCACAAGCAGATACACTAGCTTTAGCATACCACTAATACCAGGAAGAAACTGACTGTGAAATCAAATGATCTAAAATTCTAATCCTGGGGGCCAGCAGGTGGCATGGTGGTTGACTCACATGGCTAACCGTGTGATTTGAGTACCATACCTGGTGACTTACTTTCTCATTTTCCCTCTCTTCCTCTCTCGGTCTTTTTCTAGTGAGTGCCGGGGGTCCAGCCTCGGCGGGGGTGGGTTGACTTGACGGAGGCGGTGCAGGTGAAGAAGAAGACTAAGGCCTTGGTGCCTTTTTCATGCACGTCCTTAGCCAGACACCCCTCAGAGATCGCTCTCTGAAGAGTGACAACTGCTAGGAATCACCATGCATTTTTATTGAAAATGTGATACATGCAAGTAAATGGAAGAGGGACTATGTGTTTCAATTATTATCTCATAAAGTTTTAACAATAGAGGACATAGATTCTATTCAGGGTTGGATTAAGTGTGGGTCTAGTGCAGTTCCACAATGGTAGGTGGGTCTCCATGGAATGCAGTTTTGGGAAAGCAGTTCCAGTAAGCAGAGATGATTATCAACTGATGCAGTGCATCAGCCATCTTGTGATTACCGGGAATGGTGCTGAGAAAAGAGAATCTCAAGTATAGATATTAGTTCTTATGGATCTTAATAAAGAATGATACTTATACAGTTTTATAGGGATCTAAAACTTAATTTAAG